AGCTTGCAGTTACTGTGCAAGCTTACAAGAACCATTTTTATTGCAAGCTTCTTGGTTTCCTTATATGTATATAGTAAAAACTAAAAAAATCTTCTTTTAATAGACCCAAAGAGCTAGAGCTTAAATATTGAGCATGAAACATCTTCTGAAAAATTGGACTTAGAAAATTCTGTGAAAGCAGGGAAAGGAAAAGTAGTGAACAATTTCTAAGTACAAAAATTTGGAAACGTTTATAAAAATGATTTCACTTAAACTAATTAGCATTTATATACGGTAATATAATGGGATTCAAATGAAAACATTTATTTCATAGATTTTATCTCATTGTCTTACATTCTAGGTTTAATTAATTAATTTTCATATAACTTTATAAAAAATTTAATTTCTGTTATTAAAATTCTTATAAGATAAAGTCAGTATTTAAAATTAATTATGAAAATTAACAAAATTCACATTTCTTAACAATTGTGTATATTACAAGCAAATATAATGAACATCATATATTGTCTAATGGCTAATTGGTTTTTTGTGCCCCCACTTTAGGGGGGAGGCATTTAGATTTACCCTTGTCCGTCCGTCCATATTTCCGTCCTTCCGTTCTCATTTTGTGTCAAACGTAGTTCAAAAAGTATTTGACCTAGAGTCATAAAACTCTACAGGAATGTTGATCAGCATGTGTAGTTGTGCACCTGGGTATTTTCGTGTGGATATATTTAGTATTTTTTGAGTTATTGCCCTTGACCTAATAAAATTTTACAATTTTCAACTTGTGTCGCACGTAACTCAAAAAGTATTTGACCTAGAGTCATGAAACCTTACAGGAATGTTGCTCAGCATTTGAAGTTATGCACCTGGGTATTTTCCTATGGATATATTTAGTATTTTTAGAGTTATTGCCCTTGACTTAGTAAAAATTTTAAAATCTTCAACTTGTGTCGCACATTACTCGAAAAGTATTTGACTTAGGGTCATGAAACTTTACAGGAATGTTGATCAGCATGTGAAGTTTTGCACCTGGGGTTTTGCTTATGGATTTATTCTATTTTGTGTGAGTTATTGCCCTCGACTTAATAAAAATTTGCAAATTTCAACTTGTGTGTACGCTCAAAAAGTATTTGAAACTAGGGTCATGAAACTTTACAGGAATGTTGATCAGCATGTGAAGTTGTGCACCTAGGTATTTTCGTTTAGATTTATTTAGTATTTGTAAAGTTATTAGTAAAAATTTGCAATTTTCAACTTGTGTCACATGTAGCTCAAAAAGTATTTGACCTATAGGGTGATGAAACTTTATAGGAATATTGATCAGCTTGTGAAGTTCTGGGGTTTCACGTGTGAATTATTTTGTTATGTCAGAGCCTTCGCCCTTGACTAAGTGAAAATTTGCAATTTTCAATTTGTATCGTGCGTACCTCAAAATGTCCTAGAGTCATGAAACTTAACAGGAATGTTGGTCAGCATATGTAGTTGTGCACCTTGGATTTAGCTTGTGGATTTATCCAGTATTTGTAGAGTTATTGCCCTTGACTTAGTAAAAACAATTTCATTATGTTGTGTTATTTGTTCCTTGAGTGCTTGAGTTAGAATCAATCAACTTTGCAGGAATAATCATCAATATCACTGTGAAGCTAAGCACCTGGGATTTTGCATGTGGATTTTTTTCAGTTTTTTAGAGTTATTGCCTTTGACTTAGTATAACTTTGCAATTTTCAACTTGTTCATGCATAGCTCAAAAAGTATTTGGCCTGTAGGCCTGAAAGTTTACAAGAATGTTGGTCAGCATGTGTACTTATGCACCTTGGGGTTCGCTTGTGTATATATTCAGTATTTCTAAAGTTCTTTCCCTTTACTTAGTTCAACTTGTGGCACATGTAGCCCAAAAATTGTTTGACCTAGAGTCATAATATTGAGTGTGGGGGCACCCGTGTCCTATGGACACATTTCTAGTTTTTTCATTGTAACTTTCAATTTCTTGAGGTATTTACATCAAACTTCAAATATACGTTTCTTATAGTATTAACCACTTGTGCCAAGTCTCATGATTCTAGAAACAATATATCCAGATTTATCTCCCCTTCATCTTAGAATTTTCCTAAAAAAGTTATTTTTACTATAACTGATTTATATTAAGTATCTTCTTCAAATTTTAATTTTATGTTATAATATGTTCAACATCATTTGTGACATAACACTAGCATGACTATTTCCAGAGTAAGATCCTTTTGAACATGTTTTATTTCTTACTTTAACTTCATTATTCCTTACAAGATTTCAAATAACTACTTCATCATAGTAATATGATAAGGTATTTAACACAGGAGTCAATATTCCCATAATTATCTGCGCAGACGCCCCTTATGGAATGAAATCAGATTTTGTGAAAGGGCAATTGCAACTATTCGGGCCCTTTAGTCGGTCATAATAGCCGATCATTCCAATTGGTATGAGGGTGTTTGATTATTAAAAATGAAATGTCGCGATATGTACAATGAATAGCGAACTTGAGAATTTTGCAATGCAAACACATTCAAATGAAATAATCTTTTCCGTCAATTAATCGCGTTCTTCAGATTTTTTTAGCTCACCAGAGCCGAAGGCTCAAGATGAGCTATTGGTATCAAAGGGGGATACTCCGGCGTCCGTCATCATGCGTCAACAATCATCTTCTTCTCTAAAACCGCTGGACAGATTTACTTCAAATTTGGTCTGTCACACCTAAAGTTGCTCATATGATTTCAATTGGCCCCTTTTAGGGGTCAAGAGAGCTAAAAATAGAAAAACCTTTTGACATCTTCTTCTACAGAACCAATTGGTGGATGATCACCAAACTTTGTCTGTAGCATTCTTAGGTAGTCTTTTATCAAATTTGCTCATATTAATTTGATATGCCCCTTTTAGGGGTCTCTAGACCTAAAAATAGAAAATACTTTAGACATCTTCTTCTACAGAACCAATTGATGGATGATCACCAAACTTTGTCTGTAGCATTCTTAGGTAGTCTTTTATCAAATTCGCTCATATTAATTTGATATGCCCCTTTTAGGGTCAAGGGAGCTAAAAATAATATAAACCTTTAGACAGCTTTTTCTACAGAAATTGATGGATGATCACCAAACTTTGTTATTAGCATTCTTATAGTAATCTTTTATAAAAATTGCTCATATTTATTTGATTGGCCCCTTTTAGGGGCTGCTAAAGCTAAAATACCCCAGACCATGGCATTTCTTCAAATAATAGTTTAATGAAAGGGAAACAACTCATGTTTGAATGTCTTTCATACATGTGAATGACCTGTTTGCTGATGAAATTATTTGAGGTCATAACCTCTGGCAAGAGAAATGATATTTATGAAATAACTTGAGCACATTATAAGGACTTAGTATCAAGCTTTATTTGGTTTCATTCATATTCACTTAATTACATCAGGCCATCCATAAAAAATTGTTACTTTGTAGTGCTCCGACCGACCCATGAAAATTGCCCCGACTCTAAAAAATTTTTACACCTTCGAGGATTTTTTTTTTTTTTTTTTTTTTTTTTGAGATCATTATGTACCCATTCTGTTAAAAAGAACTTTCTCAAATAACTTTTCAGACAAATTTTGAATTGAGAAGTAGAAGAGTTAAAGACTGTTATTCCAAAACAAAAAATAAATGCACGCTTTTCATCGATATTTAGCCAAAATTTGACCCCGAACACCGGATTTTCACTATGTACATATAGTATAAAAATAAAAAATCTGCTTGTCTGAAGGTACAAGGCTTAAAGCTTTGATATTTGGTATATAACATCATCTATGGGTCCTCTACTAAAGTTGTTTTAATTATGCCCCTAGTGTTAAAATTGCCCTGCCCAGGGGCGATAATTTTCCTTATATGTATAAAGTAAAAACTTGAAAAATCTTCTTCTCTGAATTGACAAAGGCTAGAGGTTAGATATTTGGCATGAGACTTTGCGAAGTGAACCTCTACCAAGATTGTTCAAATTTTGCTATATAATTTCATCTATAGGTCCTCTGTCAAAGTTGTTCAAATTTTTCCCCTGGTGTCAACATTGGTCCTGCCCGGGGGCATTGATTCTCATTATGTACACTTAGTAAAAACAGAAACTAAAACAAATGTTTTCTGAATTGGAGAAAGCTACAGCTAAGATATTTGACATGAAATGTTGTTTGGTGGACCTGTATCAAGATTGTTTGAATTAAAATTTTGCCTTGCCCAAGGGGACTTTCTTGTCCTTTGATGTACAGCAATGAAATTTTGACCATGTGCACAGTTTTAGTTGTAAAATTGAACTTTGATATCAGGTGACGTAGATTTTGATGATGTGACTTACTTTCTTGTCCTTTGATGTACAGCTATGAAATTTGAACCATGTGCACAGATTGAGATGTAAAGTGAACTTTGATATCAACTGACCTAGACTTTGACAAAGTGTCTTACTCTGTTGTCCTTTGATGTAGTCATGAAATTTAGGCTGTGTGAAATATGACCTTCACCACCAAATTCACTATACTCAACTGCATTGATATATTCCTACTCTGATCTTTTATTTGAATAACAATAGATTTAACCACTAATCTGATAATAAGAATTAGATAGGTCAGGGATCTATGCATTATGACAATCTTCAATTGTATAGAAACAAAAAAAATCTGTTCCTACACTACTATTTAGTGTTGTATTAATGCGGTGGCATAGCATTTTTCACAAATGCAATCTTGTTCTTAAACTTTTCTTCATTGTTCCTGCAAATGGTATATAGTTTAGGCTTATGAAAATTGTTCTTATACATCACTCACTTAAATATGACAAGGGCTATAAATCTAGCATCTTCATTTCAAGACTGAAGAGTCTTTTCTTTGAACTAAGAATTATAAAAAAATATAAGAGTGAATGGTTCAGGTAAAATGTTATTTGTGTTATCATTGGAAATTGATCAAATTTTAATAAATAACAGAGAACTATTGTTTTTAAAACCTGTTATTGTTTGCTTAACAGGGAATTGTTCAGGTTGAATGTGTTCCATTACCAGGAGTGGTTTGAGGTCTCTATGGTTTACTGGTTACAGACATTTAGGTCAGAGTGTATACAACGCATGGAGAAAGCATTAGAAATAGATAAAGATGTAAGTTCATATTTTGTTATACTGCTGGTCGGGGACCATCAACCAGACACTTTTTGAACATTTTTCCATACAGATTTAATAATTTGAAAGCTAGAGATCTGAAATTTTGACACAGTGTAGCTTATAGGTTCTTCTCCTAACTAACAAACTACTTTGTTTTTTGTTTTTTTTTATTATATTGACACTAATATCAGAGGCCCGTCATGGAGGGCTTCAAAATTACCTAAATTGTACCATGTGTCCGGACTGATATGCAATGGCTCTAATTTTAAGTCAGATAAAAGCTTGGGTGTTTTAATCTTTTTATTAGTCCCCTACCGGTTTAACCGGAGGGGACTTTAGGTTTACCGTCCGTCTGTCTGTCCGTCCGAGCAACATTTGATATTTATGAGCTTCATTCCGTAGTTAAATAAAGAACAAAAACTCTTTAAATTCATATTATGAGCTATTTTTTGTTTTTATAAGCTAAATTCAGCTTATGGACTTACGTCCAGGTGTAGTTTATGAGCTGATTTGCCTCTTAAATATCAAAAGTTGGTAAGTCCGTACGAACCCAGAGGTACTTGTCTGACTTGGAGAACAATGGGTAACAGTAAATTCTCTTTGATCCTATTCATTCCGTTTTTACTTGTGTGTCTTTTTTTAAGCCTTGTGTGGCTTAAAATGGCCAAAAAGATCAAAGGAAAAGTCACATAAGTACCATTTTGTGAGTACGTCCGTCAGTCCGTCCGTCCACAAAACTGGATCCCGCGATAACTTAAAAAGTACTGAAGATATTTTTATGAAACTTGATATATGGATAGATGGCAGTCTGGAGATTAAGCACATTTTTTTCTTTACTTCCTATGTTGAAAATTCTGATTGCTATGGCAACAAATACACTTAATTTCAAGATTTCTGATTCCGATTTTTAAGCTTTTACACTATAACTTCTTTGTTTCTTAAGGTATTTACTTCAAACTTTAAATATAAGTTTCTGGTCATCAACCACATCATATGTGACAAGGTTTACAACTCGAGCACAAAAATAATCAGAATTACCTCCCTTGAAATTAGAAATTTAATGAAAAAAATGTTTTTTTTAATAACTTCTTTATTTCTTAATGTATCTGCTTCAAACTTCATATGTATGTTTCTTATTATCACCCAACATATGTGAGAAGGTTCAATACTCTAGCAAGACTATTTTCAGAAGTATGCCCTCCTTGAACTTTTTTGAGAAATTGGTATTTTTTACTCCCAAGTTCTTCATTCCTTTTAGGATTTACTTCAAACCCCACATCATAATAATATGTCAAGGTTTTTTCCAACAAATTTACTTAAAATAGAGGAAAGTTGAAATATTTGTTATACTTATTCATCCTGAGAAAATTGGACGTTTGATTATCTGTTGTATAAACATAATTTCCTTACTTGGCAGGGAAACTTACGCATAACTATGATATAAACAAACTTAGAACTCAAAAGATTTAAGTTCATTGATGTCATTCATTCATTCAATGGTATAATTGAATGGCCAATGGCCCATCAGAATGTTGCTGGGGTTCTAACCGGTAGGGGACTTATGGATTGCTTGCAATACTATGATAATTGCTTGATTTTAACATGATATACAATATTTCAGCAGCATATGCTGAAGTTTTGGATATTCTGCAAATTATCATAGCTTATGCTAGTGTAAGAGGTCGGGTATTGCACTCTTTGCGCCCAAATTTTCAACGTCAACATTCTTGAAATAGACATTAAAATATTACTGTTTACAAAAGTTGAAATAAATTTAATTACTTAATTATAGAAAAAATGTGCATTTATTGTTGCGTAATAAGTGACTGATAGATTGATGACTATTGAACAAAGAAAAAAATCCAAATTAGGCATATTTGGGGCTGTCCGGGTTTGGTGGTTGTCCGGTTTTGCTGGTCCCCAACCAGTAGTTTGAGGCTGTTAATCCAGCTTGATGTATCATGGACAAAATCTTGAGTACATTTCTTCTGAAAACCTGCTCAACCAGTTATGATAAAACTTGACAGGAGAAACCGCGGCACAGGAGTGTAATAAAGCCATTTAATAAAAACGATATTACACTAGTGTAATAACACTTTTACGTGACATCATTAGCGCTTAAAACATTAGCGCTTATAAACATTGCGTTAAAGCGCACTAATGTAAGGGTTACACTATAGGCGCATCATTTAAAAATTAATCATTTTAACAGTTTACCGTTCTTATTTTATATATTATGTGATAAATAGAATATTATATTCATGTAGATTCAATACTAAATGTATTGAACTTGTTGAATAAAACAATATTATGCTCGCCAGAGGCTCGCATAATTTTATTCAACTTGTTCAATAAATTTAGTATTAAACTACACTCATTCAATATCCTCTATTTGTAATGAAAACTGCTTTTGCATATTATAATGAATTTTACCTTGACCCATAAATGATCTTGGCATTCAAATTTAATTCTTGATTTTTGATAAATTTGGCTATTACTTTGTTATTAAGGACTTTTTCTGGAGTTTTCATATAGACATATAGGCAAAATTAAAACTGTTCTATAGAATTTCTTTAAACTTGGCATGTTTTTAGAATATGATAACAGAAACATTTGGGTCACCGTTAGAAGTCCAGTGAAAAGAACAGTAACTCTGCCTTGCCTAATTCTGGAACTGTCACACTTTGAACTTTGTCCAGGGACATATAACTCTGAAACAACAAGAGGTGTACTTTCCTGTGTCGAAAACCTATTCGGGTAGCATCACCAGGTTCAAACCGGGCTCTTGTTTAAATTTTGTCAACTCCCACCGATTATAACTGTAATAAGATGTATTCAATTGACCAGACTGAAAACGTAAAAAAAATTTACACATCAAAAAATTTTACACATCAAAAAATTTTGGCACAAATATTTGATCCACAACTTGACTATCCCAAAATTTATCTCGTAATTTTTTCTTTGATATGTTTGATTGGTTTGCATGTATCAGTGGTCCTTTACTAAACTTGATAAAATTGTTCTTGTCTCTTTATTGACAAGATGGCCACCACAGCTAAAAATAGAAATAAGCTTAAAAATGACATCTCCTCCTCAGGTCTATGCTACATGTTAGTGATCTCCTAAAAAAATGATCCTAAGGCTGTCCTACTTAACTTAAATTTTCAAAATTGTTCAGGTTTGCTGAACAAAATCGCCAACAGAGCTATAAATGAAAGAAAATTGAACAATACCTTCTCAACCACTTTGTAGATTTTGATGAAACTGTACAACAATGATCATAAGGTAGTCCTTTACAAAAATTGCTCGAGTCATTCTTGTCCGTTGAACAAGGAATATCCTTGTTATGAAATCTTGGTCATGTAGACCATATCCTTTGGTGAGCAAATAAGGTCCATAATGATCCTCTTGTTTAAAAAAATGTGTTGCACAATGGGATAGCACCAGACCTGGCATGTATGTGGCAAAAAAGCTTCATGTTTTGTCCATATTTAGGTTGTACTTGACAAAAATGTTCACAGAGATATTGTGTCTGGCGCATGAACCAGATCTATCAGAAGTCAAGATAACACTATTGGGTCAAAGGAAAACCATTTGTCTAGAGCTGAACTTCTATATATGTTGAGAGAATTTGATTTAACTTGGCAGAATTGTTCAGCATTGTTAGGCAAATAAATGCGTTGACACAAAAAATCAGGTCCTTGCAGCCAATCTCACGTTAAGAGGTCAAAGATCAGATATCGTATGAAAATATTTGATGAATCTTGCATCAAAATGTTCACCTTCACAAGACCCAGTTTTACTGGCATTGTCAAGGTCAATACGGTAACATTTACACATTTGTATTATTCATTATTAGCTCAGCGCAACCAGAGATGAAATGTCAAGATTTGTCATGGGCCATATCTTCTTCATGCATGGATGCATTTAAGTATTAAGTATATCCCTACCATGGAGAAAGAAGAAGAGAGATATTGTCTTCTAAAAGCTATTTTGAATGAAAAGGGACTAAACTGTGATATTGCATTGATATTTTAAGTTCAAGTTAATATCAATACTTGTTCTGTTCATGAGATGTTATACGGGGGGGGGGGGGGGGGGGGTAACAACATATGGATCTCAAAATTGAGCATCAGTAAAAAGTAATTGTGAATTTCCGCTCATCCAGATGTGAAGTATAACACCAAATGAGAATGTGTAATAAGGTTAATTTCAAGGTAAGTTTTCAACTTTTTATATAAAATTCAAACCTTTTTTTAAGAAAATCAAAATGTGATTATACCCTCCTGACTCTCCTCTATATTGCCAATTTTTGTATTGGATTTCTATGCAGTCTTCATCAAGATACTTTTTTCGTGGTGGGATCTGGTGTGTCATAAACATGCAGTGCATGTGAAGAAAATGTCACTAAACGGACTCAAAATACAGTGATTTTTATTAAATCTCACCCCAGACCGATACTTAACATTCGTACAAATCCTGATTTAAACATTTATTGAGATTTTTTCCTTGATGCTCCTAATCTGTTATATGACAGTAACATGGTTTATTGGCAATAATGCACAGTGCGATACCTCAGAAAATGCACAGAAAAAGTGTGGTTATTTCAAATAAAGCAGTTATGTAAGTTAACTTAGATTATGAATAACTGTGACCGTAGACAAAAACACGAGAGTCACTGGACTGTACAAAAATCTTCTACCCATAATGTTCTATCTCACTATCTCATTTTGCTAGATTGTCAAGTATCTCAGGTTGCACTTTGAAAAAGGAGTAACCCATGTCATCCATAATGTCTATGTGTTCATTGCTACTTTTTGTATTTTCTGATCGCAGATGCTGACATTCAATCTCTGACACAGAGCTTCACGACAAACCTAACAACAAGTAGTTCTCAAAACAGCTTAAAACTAGCGATGTACAAGAAAGATCTATTTTTATTTTGTTACAAGTATATATTCAATAAATTACAATGCATTCAAGTTTAAAAGTAGCAT